AATTTCTACGGTGAAAAATATTAATTCGTGGATCTAGCAGGACATATATATATATGTAACGAATACTATATGCATCACGTTGGCGGTACTGTAATTTGCGCTTTAATATTTAGCTTTCAGAATCTAACGCCATCTACAACAATAATAAAATCTAACCTTAATAATTTCTAATATTTATCTGTCAAAAAGTATTATTATTCCAGGTAAACATGATGAGCACGTTTAATTATTAAAAATTCCTTTCTTCAATTTAGTAAAAGAATTGTTTAATGTGAAGCGAATGATACAGCATAAGCGGTTTTCCACGCATGATTTTTCCCGCCCTTTCCACTAGCAGACATTTTATTGGGAGGGGGGTAAAAAGAAACGCTTCAAAACATAAAAGGTTGATGCTGATTGGCTTACTTTTTGCGGCTTATCTGAAATAAGCCAATGGTAATACAGATTTTCCCCATACACTTTCATATGCCGCACAAGTGGCGTGGGGTCGCGATATTCGAAGCTGAGAATCCTTTTAGCTGTAGAGGACTGTCGAGGTAAGAAAAGTCTAAATATTTTTCTTTTCTAGTGTTGACAGATTTCAGCGACCAACAATTGATCACTAGGCTATGACCGCAATATGACACGCGAAACACGAGCAATTATTTAGTGAAGTGCTACTGTGCTGCGTACTGTGCATATACCTTTTATTTTCACACAGCCGTCATAGCAAATGGCTGCCCGGAGATGTATTTAGTAAGAAGGTTCTCGTGCACTTTGTTATCGTATGTGTAGATATGTGAAAATATGTCATGTGACAGTTTTTACAGTCGTGAAGACATAGATATTCCAGATTCGTAACATAAAATGTCGGCGTGGCTTGTGTCACGAGTGTTTCGTCATAAATCAGCCGTCAAGGCTATAGCCCGCGTACGATCAGTCTCTGTTTGGCTACTTCTACCATGTATTGGCATATATGGGATCTTGTACTATAGTACTCGTCGTAGTTTTATAGCGAACAATTTGTTAGTTAATATTTAAATTGTGGTGACAAGCACAATGCATTTGGGAAACATGTAAAAAATAAGAGAGACTTTTAGTCATCAGATTATTATCCATGGCGTAGTTTACAATATATCATTAAGCTTTTGATTTCCCGCTCATATGCCATTCTCTAGCTTCTTAAAGTTATATGTTCGTGATCAACAGTAGCATATGCAAGTTTCATTTTATGAAATTTCGTATAGCGATATAAATGTAGTGCAGTTATCGTTAAATCGTTTACGTTGTTTGTAATAATCGGGTCGATGAATATCGAAAGGGGAAAGAGAAGAATGTTATGCACAGTATGTTTAGATGCAAGCGTTTGTTTTTACTGTATACGCCATATCATCGACAATGTATATTCTATACAAGGCGCCAAAATGATTTTGATGTCTTGCTTTAACTTTTACTGTATTTGCACATTTAGAGTACAATATTTTTGTCAGTCTCTGAAATTTGTCGACGTTATTTTTCGTTTATATGTTTAACATGAATAAAATACTAGTTCATTATATTGAAATATGTGAAGTTGATTATATATAAAATGGTGGGAATATAATCAATGTACGGAAGACATGTTTGGAATACGCAAACGTCACCGTACTTGTGTGTGCGTAATATGAGCTTACATGTAGTCCGGTAGAGCTCTATATATACGTGATATACTTATTCGTTTCTTTTGCTCATATTCACAACACGTTATCGAATCACAATTTTTTTTCTCAAAGATACATATTCTTTTTTTTGTGTATGTTTGGATATTAGAATCGTTGTTTAATGAAGCAACAATTTCTATAAGCAAAAATATTATTAACCTTTCAATACTATGTATCATATCTATGTTTACACTTTACATATCTGATAGATAATTGATTTTCTTAAGTTTATATAAAAGTATACGTCATATTGTATTTTCGTATTTAATTTATATAAACATTTGAAAATTATAAAGAAATTTAAACCACAAAAAGGATTTATGCATTTCATGTTTTAAGTACATTTATAATATAACCGTGCTAAGTTTTTCTATATGAAAAACTCAAATTAAAGCGTATCGATAGTTGAATTGGAGAATACTCGTTCTGTTCGCGATTCGAACGATTAGCCAGAGATAAAATTCTTATTCATAAATCGCGGCCACTTAGTAAATAAAATGCCTTTTATATTTCTTGGTATTATATTAATCAGTTATTATAGAGCTTTAATCTTAACATTTTTTATGAAAATTAAATAACTATCGTTAATATTTAACTATTTTACATACACTAAATTATTATTATTGTTGATGTTACTATTATCATTATTATTAATGTTATTGTTATTATTATGTTAGTGAACATATAACAGAAATATGTAAAATTAAAATTGGGTTATTAAAAAGATAATAAACCTGCAAATTCGAAAATATTACGAAATTCGTGAGTGCTCAATTTACATACCAATTTTATGTCTTGTAAGTTTCATATTTCAAATTAATGTTGAATTATAAAAATAAAAATTTACATGCATAAAATCTACTTAAAATATAGTATATAATATTATAAAATCAGGAGCAAACCAGTTATTCAATTTTATGTATACAGTATGTTTGGTTTATCTCAAAATACAGAAGTATCTCGAAAACTATGAATGATACAAAACAATATTTCAGACGAAAGTTGTAGGGTATAGAGGGCGACATTTTATTTTGATATTTGTTTGACCTTGCAATGACTTTGAAAAGCCCTGTAAAGGTCATGATTAAGTTTTTAAATGGAAACGTATATTTTTGATTGTGTATTCTTGTAGCTAACATCGAGTCCTTTTCTAAACACTGCATATTTGTGGTTTTTGCGTAAATTATTATACAGATATCAGCTCTCAAGTTTTACATGTCGCCGGCATTAGCGTTATCCGATGTACACCACGGGGTGGTTGCTCGGTCGGACAATGTTTTGGAAACATTGGAAAACTGCGTCTTTATGTTCCGGCAATGCTGTTCCAGTAGTAGCATTATGAAAAACATCTTTATCTGCCCCTGCGGTGTACATCAGGTAACGCTAATGCCGGCGGCATGTAAAACTTGGAAGCTGATATCTTGATAATAATTTACACAAAAGCCACAAGTATTCAGTGTTTTGAAAACGACTCGACGTCAGCTACAAGTATATATAATCAAAAATATACGTTTCCATTTAAAAACTTAAGCATAACCTTTGCAGTGCTTTTCAAGGTCATTGCAAGGTAAAAAAAAAGAAAAATCCAGAATAATATGTCGCCCTCCATATCCTACAATTTTTGTCTGAAACATTTTTTTGTATCATTCGTTGTTTTCAAGATACTTTTGTATTCTGAGATAAACTGGACATACTGTATACCATGTAGCTATATTATACATAGAACTACTATGTAAACTATAATATTACCATCACCCATATAATCTTTATAGTACAGATACATTTATTCTTGAGTCAGTATTAAAAGAATACTAATGGAGCAATGTCAGAACAATGTAAAAACTTATTGTGAATAGATTATATTGTGTACTATGTTCGCGGTACAGCTTTTAATTATTCATATTACAGTAAAACATGGATAATAACGTTTTCGATATAGTTTTTATATCCGCTGAAAAAAATTTTTAAATTGAAGGAAAGAAATAGGAAAGGACACTTGAGTTATAAGTAATAATACTTAATTTGCATTATTCATAGCAAAACAATTCACATAAGTAGATGGATTGTTTAGAAGATTAATGTCGTTTTGAAGTAAAATTTAACGTAAATTGTAGAGTTATAAAATTATGTGATATTTTGTTATTAGTAACACAGAAACATTTTATGTAGAGGATATTTCTTTAAACATAGCGAAACAG